CATTTTTTCCCCTTACCTCTGCCCTCCCTTCACCCCCTCCTCCCCTCCCCATCTACAAACACTTTATTTTCATCTTTTCATTCTCTCACATTTTTTTCTTTTCCCTTTTTGTTCTTCCCCTACGTATCACACCTTCCCTACACCTTTAGCTCCTTTCCTCCCATTTCTAAATGTCAGTAATCTTATTAGAACCTTATGCATTGTTGCAGAATATTCACACCAGGGAAACTATTGTGTTTTTACACATGTGGGACTTATTTATTTCACTTAGGAGTATATCTTCAATATGTATCCATTTTCCTATGAATGAATCTATTCTCTCGCTCTTTATGGCTGAGTAATATTCCATTTTATAGAAAAACCACATCTTCTTTATCCAGTTTCCAACGGATGGGCAAATAGGTTGTTTCCAAGATTTAGCTATTACAAACTGAGGTCCATATTTTTAAGCTGTAACTGCTTCTACTTACTTCTGCAGAGTGTCTTAATGTGGTTGCACAAGAAAAGCATTCATCAGTCTCACCTTCCAACAGAGCAGGGGATGGATGGATTTTCTACACTGACGGCTGGAGTTTCTCAGCCCTGCACACTGTGAGACCAAACCGGCTTCCTCCCAGGCACAGGAAGAGCTCAAAGCAGGAAGGAAAGGGCGAAGAATCCAAGCACCAACCACTGTCCTTGAGGTGAGTATGGTAATAAGTCAGAGACATCTCAGTTATTAACTAATTGGTTAAACTGTGGTGAAATCCATCCAACACAATTTCCCACCCTGATTATGTTTTTCTGTGTAAAATTCAGTGGCTCGAAGTTCACTGCCGCTGTTGCGCAATCATCACCACCGCCTGCACCCGCAAACGCTTTCACTGCCCCACGCTCTCTTCCCCGTGTCTTCTGCGCAGCCTCTGTCCAGCACCGTGCCGTGTCCTGTTTCTGTGGATCCCCTTGTCCGGGGGACTCAGGCAGTGCTTCTCTCTCTGTGACCGGTTTAGCATGGCACTTAGCGTACTCAGTCTTTTTTAAAAAAATGTTACAACACAGCCAGCTGTTCTCGGGGCTTGTTCTAAGATCTGATGGGAACCCTGGGGTGCACTTGATTCCGTGCTGTCCCATCCATGTCACACGCAGAGGTGGGTGCCGGGCCTGTCCCTTACACCAAGAGCTCCGTAAGGAGCCCCCACAGCACAAGGCACGAGCAGGGCGGTGAGGCACTCAGTTATTCTCCCCTGACACTTGTGAGCTTAGGAGCCCGATTGGCTTCCCAGGATGCAGACTATAGAGAGCAGGAATTCACTGTAAAAATACCGGCTCCACGTCCCATGTCTGGCAAGACTGATCAGAAACTGCTATGACGCCACGGATGCAAGCTTTTCTTTATTAGTGAGAGATGCTGCGCAGGCATCTACATTTGGAGAAACACAGAGCTTGTTCGAAAAGGTGCCACAGGACTGTGGACAAGTGAGCAGAGCTGTCTGAGTCTGTTTTCTCGCCTACAAGATGTGCTGTCATTTTTGCTGTGAGGATAACTTCAGGATAAATCAGCTACTGCCTGTGTCTGAACCGGAGAAACACTTCAAAGTGGCATCAAAACAAAGCCAAGTCCCATTCTTGGTGTTGTATCGAAGCCCCACATAACTGCTGTTTTGTTCTTTTGCTTCACGGAGTCCGCATTTTGGGGAAACACAATGCAGAGAAGGAATCCAAGAGGGAGGAGGATGAGAACAGCTCTCCGGGCCCGAGAGGGTACTCGGGATTACTGAGGAGAGTTTTGATTTCTGTGATTCCAGGTGTAGACCCCACACTTTAAAACATGGCGGCCACAGGCAACGTGACTGAAATCATTTTCTTGGGATTTTCCCAGAACGAGAACGTGCAGAAGGCCCTTTGTGTGATGTTTCTCCTCATGTACGCAGCTGTCTTGCTGGGCAATGGCTTCATCGTGGTGACCATCGTGGCCAGCAAAGGGCTGGCCTCCCCCATGTACTTTTTCTTGGGCTTCTTGTCCCTGGTGGAGCTCTGTTACTGCTCGGTCACGGCTCCCAGGCTCATCCTGGACTCTTTCATCCAGAGGAGAGTCATTTCCCTGCACGGCTGCATCACGCAGATCTTCTTCCTGCACTTCTTTGGCGGCACTGAGATCTTTCTCCTGACGGTGATGGCCTACGACCGCTACGTGGCCATCTGCAAGCCCCTGCACTACGTCACCGTCATGAACCGGCGGGCCTGTGGCCTCCTGGTGGGCGCTGCCTGGGGAGGGGGCTTGCTGCATTCTGCCGGGCAGACCGTCCTCATCTTCCAGCTGCCTCTCTGTGGCCCCAACGTCATTGACCACTACTTCTGTGACGTGCACCCTGTGCTGAAGCTGGCCTGCTCAGACACCTTCCTGCCCAGCCTGCTGATCATCCTCAATGGCGGCTCCATCTCGGTGGTCAGCTTCGCGGTGCTGCTGGCCTCCTACACGGTCATCCTGCGCTCGCTGAGGAGCCGCACTTCTGCCGGGCGTCGCAAGGCCCTCTCCACCTGCGCCTCTCACCTGGCGGTTGTGGGCCTCTTCTTCATCCCCTGCTCCTTTGTCTACATGAGGCCCTGCGTCTCCCTCCCTGTGGACAAGATAGTGGCCGTGTTTTACACGGTGGTCACACCCCTCTTGAATCCAGTCATCTACTCCTTCAGGAACGCAGAGGTCAAAGATGCCATGCGGAGACTCACGAGGAGGAAAGCGGTTTGGGGAGAGAAGTAGGTGACCCGCTCCTGCAAAACAGGGAGAGTCGGGCTTAGGAACTGGGGCGCCAAGAGCTCATGCGTCTGCTACCTTACCTTGGCCGGTCACCTGCTTCATTAGCATTTCTGCCCCTCAGCACTCTGGGACTGGACACGACGGAAGGAGTCTCTAGGCTGCAGTGAGGGGCATCTTCTAGTGTGGCAGTCCGGAGGGGATGGACCTTTCCAGGAAACCAGGGCGGCCTGGGGATGGTGCAGAGGGCGGGGCGGAGGAGGAGTTGTTTAGACACACCAGTCTGGCGTCCTCTTGGTTTAGGGCGCTCGAGCCTTTGGTTTGGAGACGTGAAAGGTCAGTGAGGGGCACAGTGGTCATTGCCCTGACAGGAAGGGTTCGCCAGCTGGGTCCTGCTGCAGGCCAGGCGGACTTAGAAGGGTTCAGACCTCAGCCAGAAGATGCAGGGCGGATTCACACAGGCGTGTGCTAGCGTCAGACCCAGGTGTCTCAAGAACCGAATGGAACTACAAGTTGGTTTTAAGTGATTGGAAAGCACCGGACGGGGAGACAGTGGTGCCCAGCTTGCAGGAAGGAGTTTCATTTGCTGTGGGTTTCATTTCATTAACTTTCCCCCGCCCTGGGAGTTGAACCCAGCACCTTTGCGCTGCTTCCCTACGCTTTCTCTTCTCTTCTCCTCCCTCCACTTCCCTTTCCTCCTTTCTTCTCTCCTCTCCTGCCCCCTCATCTTCCCACCTGCTCTTCCCGGGTTTCGACATACGGTCTCTCTAAGGGGCTAAGTTGCCCAGGCTGGCCTTGAAATGGAATCCTCCTGCCTCAGCCTCCTAAAGTGCTGGGATTACAGGCGTGCACACCAAACCCAGCTCATTAACATTTTGATCTCTCAGATTCTCCTCCATTCACACTTGTTTGTCTCTCTTTTGCTCCCAGTTTCCCTCCTTAAGCCCCTCGTTTTTGAGTCCTTCGTTTTTCAGTCTGGTGGCCTCTTGGCTTCCTCCACTTTGCACGTGCTCAGCAAAGCCTGGGGCCTCCCTCCCCAATGCCACCACGCTGCCATCGTGCTGCCCCAGACCCCGCTCCTCCCTACCCTCATCGGAGAGCTGCCTGCAGACTGGGCTGTGTGCAGTTCCGCTGCTCTCGGTCCCTCACTATTGTCCTTTGTATTCTAACCATCCTTCATTTATTGGAGTCTCATTTCCAGCAGCCACAGACTATGAGATTGTACCCCAAATCCTAGCCTAAAACCTGTCCCTTGCTCTCCAAAGACACCTTCCCTTCCACAAACTTCCAGATCAATTGCTTTAAAGCAGTTCTCTGATTCCATCCTGCACCTACTGAAGAGGTCTTCCGTGACTCCTCATTACTTTCTGAATCAGCTACACACCCCTGCTTGACAGGAAGAGTACCCTCAACGTGTGACCCTCTCTTCCTGTCCTCCATTAACCTCGGTTGCACTCTGTCAGTTCCCAGCATCCCCTTCGCCTTGCGCCTGTGCTGTGTCCCTCATCCGTCTCCACGCACATCCTGCCCTCTCTCCTCGGCCCATCTGGAACCCTCTGCCACCAGGAAGTCTCCACCATTGTCCTCTCCAGATGCGCCCTTTCCTTTTATGAATTCATACGGCACTCTGAATCCTCTAAGGCTTGCACTGCCTTTACTTCAGGGCCTCTTCTGCTCCACTGGACCTTGACTCCTTGAGCATGAGCCCTGAATGTCACACGCCTCTCTCTGAAGGCATGGTCCCCCGACTCCCCCAGGGCTGTGACTTACTGGAAAGCCAGGCTCCTGACTTCTTACATCCAGCTAATGACTAGTTTGATATCCAGTGTGCAGCGTGCATTCAATAAACATTTATTGAATAAAGAAACAAAGAAATACCTATCCTCTGTATCTCAGCAAGATGAACTCCTGAAATCGCTCCCTAAAACATACTCTTCCAGCAGTCGTCTGTGGCAGTGCGCAGCAGGTCTGCAGTGTCGTTGGGACGCCTCGGGGTCCTCCCTCCTTCCACTTGCCCTCGTATCTCACGTCTGCTCCACTAAGAACTCCTTTTGCTGTTACTTGCACCATGGAACCAGGTGGTACCACGGCTCCGCCTCTCCCCACCCTCACTTGCTCCTCACTGGTCTCCCCCAGTCTTGGCCCTGTCTGATCCACCCCAAGAGGCTCTCTGCGAGCCCTGCAGGGGCACTAGCACCACTGTGGGAAAAGCCAGTGTTCAGGGCTCAGTGGTGCTGCCGCCTGCCTTGCAAGTGCAAGGTCCTGGGTTCGATCCCTGGTAACAACGACAACAACGACGAAAGCCAGAGTCTTCAGCCCACACTCAGAGTCCCGCATGCTGTGGTCCCCATGGCTCTCCGGCCTCCTGTCTCTCTTCTCCTCTGTCCACTCTTTCCCTAGCGCTGTAGCCTCCTTCATGTTCTTCTCACACTGAGGCCTGCTGCCACGTTGGAGCACAATGCCCCTCGGTATCTATCGGCCAACTTCCTCAGCATTCTGAGGCTTTGCGTAAAAATCACTTTTATTTTTGTTTTTTTAAAGGTCAGTTTGACCATGTGTTTAAAGTTGTAACCTCTCAGGGCCCCAGTCTCCCTTGACTGCTCTGTTTTTCCTTCTTTTCATAGTACATGACACTATACCCATGTTGTTTGTTTAACTTGTTACGCACACATGAGCTCCATGAGGAAATCTCCTTATTTTTTGTTCTCAGATGCATTTCCCCTGTCTGAACTTTGTCTGACACATTGTAGGTGCTCAGCGCCACCCTCCTTTTTCTGCAGTACAAGGGGTTGAACCTCTGAACGCAGGGTCTTCACTCTGAGTTACATCCCCAGCCCTTCTTTTAATTTTTTTACTTCGAGACAGGGTCCAGCTCACTTGCTAAGCTTGAACTTGTGACTCTCTTGCCTCAGCCTTTCAGAGTATGGGGATTAAAATCAATGCGTCACCATGCGTGGCTAGAATTTCTTGATGAAATGAATGAGTGAATAAATAAATTACAGTTATAGGAGATAAAAAATAATGACAAAGTTTAAGAACACGATGGTTGAACTCTAATATATTTGGAACTGATTCATAAGAAAAAACTACTAAAATTGTCTTTGAAATCACTCTTGAAGCTAAGTTATTAGATAAAAATGTTTCAATTGCAGGCCTGTGGAAATAATAATTCAGTGCTAAGTCATCATTTCAGTGCATTTTTCTTTCCTTTTTTGAATAGGTAAAGACCTTTACCCAGTGATTTTAATTGAAAATTACTTTTAATAGAGTCAGTTAAAATTTGGTACTTGTAAATAAGGAAGGGTGAAAGGGGTAAAGGGAGGGCAGGGATATGGGGAAAAAGCAAGAACCAAGATATGTCACGTAAAGGTACAAGATCCCAGAGATAAATGTCACTGTGTTGTTTACTTTAAATGTACCAATAAACAGTGGGGAAAAAACACAATTTAGTATTCACGGGTAGATTTTTGGAATAAAAAACGTAGGTCAATTTCCTGAAGAAAAACAATAAATATGGAAAATATTGCACAGACAGCCAAATAGTTATGTGATGCAGGAAAAGAGGATTAGGAAAGACTGACACACATTTCTCTAACAACACTCCATCAGCCTTAAAAAATTTAGAGCTCTCTGGTAATTTCTCACTTCTTCCTTTGATTAAAAAAACCCAGACTCTAGGCAGCTATATTTCCCCCCATCATTTTTCTTTATGTAAAGACAGCAGCATGCACCCACTTTGTTATTTTCTGTCCCTGTTCCTAGGATAAAGCAGAGAATCCCAGGGGTGTGCAAGGCCATTCTGCGGTCACAGCGATGGCACAAAGACTCAGAAATCCTCCCCCTGACAGCCAGGGCTTATGTGCCTTTTCCCAGCAGGAGTGAGTAGGCCTGCTGTATTTCTCTAACCGCTGGGGGTTTAAGAAAATTCTAGTGTTCTACACTTGGAAAAAATAAATATTTGCTTCGTTGGTGACTTAGTAGCTTCACGTCTGGATTATGGCACAGTGTGCTGATGTCTTTGTTTAAAAGCAAATTTTGACAAAATGCTGACATCCAGCCCCATTATCTTGATGCATCTTCTACTCTGAGGCAGTACCAAGTGGACTGGAGTGAAGCGAGCGTGGAGCGACATTATTGGGCCATTGGTGTGAACAGGAAGCCAGCCATACCTGATGGAACGGCTTGATATATTTTGGTTTTAAGATGAAATGGGAAAAAATGACAGAAGTGGTCCCTGTGCATTTATTTTCATGAATATCCATAATTTCATGGGCACGCCTAATGAGGGACTATGTTCTAACTGGCAGTTAGGGCTTATTTTAGATATTGGATATTATTAGCTTTATTACAGATGGCTTTTACCTACAAACGTTGTGTTTTGACCAACTTTGTAAATTCATGTGTATTAAAATGCTGTGCACTAAATGTTTTGTCCCCTTTGCTGTTACATGCTCAAGGCATTGATCAGCCGTGCTCTCATCAACTCATGTGAATGGCATGGGTTGGTGAAAATTATTTCCTATTTCCGGCCTAATTAAATTTCTGCTTTCTAGTATTTCTAGTATTTGGCTCCTGTTTCTGTATAACAAAAGTAGTTGTTGTATTTGTGTGGCTTTCACTTGATTTTGTTGCTAAAAAAAGACTTGTAGTTTTTAATTTAAGATAATCTGTACCCTAGTTTTCTTAATGTAACAAATTCAAGCACTTTAAGCAATAGTGCCAATCTTGTGACATTTCAGTTTAACACCTTGCCCCTAAAATTGTTTGCCAAAAAAAAAGGACAATCACTTGTATGTGGATAGGGCTTTACAATTGCGCATCACATTCTACGGAGCCAATATCTGTGGAGCGCTAATCTGTGCCAGGCACAGCCTAACCTCACTGCACATGTCCGGCTCAAGAAGAACTTAGGGGAGAGCAGCATGGTCATTCCACAGAAGAATGCGCAGTATTAAACACGATGAACCATCATCATGCCGCAGCGTGGGGGCATCTTTGAAATATAA